GTTAGCTAATGCCGCCGCCGCCTCCGCCGCATCACTATCCCTATGTCAAGCTTTCTGCGACAAAAGTCGCAGGCTCGACAATGAGACACAAAAGGAGATATTAACCATTACGACAGGAACGGGAGTATTTACAAAAAGACATGACCGGAGTTACTTAACAAACGACATCAAAAGGGGTATTTTATATGAGACCCAAGAAGAGTTACCTACTATAGGACAGGAACGGGGGTATAACCAACTAGACAAGAAGAGGGATAATTTACAACACGACAGGGCAGGGATATTTACCATTAGACACAATAGGAGATACTTACCATACAACAGAAACGGGGGTATTTACAATTAGACAGGAAAGGAGAACACGACATTGGAGGCATATTTACAAGGAGACACGACAGAAGTTATTAACCAAACGACAGGAACAGGGGTATTTATAATGAGACATGAAAAGAAATAATTACAACACGACAAGACAGGGATATTTAAAATGAAAAAAAAAAGAGATAATTACAACACGACAAAAAAACGAGTTTTTACAATTAGACAATACAGAAGTTTCTAAACATAGAACAGGATATTCATGAAACACAACAGGTGTTACTTACTAAACGGCATTAAAAGGGGTTTTTCAAAATGAGACACAATAGGCGATATTTACCAGAAGACAGGAACGAGGGTATTTACAAGGAGACAGGAAAAGAGATAATTACAAATCGACGAATACAGGGGTATTTACAATGAAACAAGACAGGAGTTTTTTCGAAACGACATGAAAGGGGGTATTCAAAATGAGACAAAAAAAGGGTATACCTACCATACGCAAGAACGGTGGTATTGCCTATTAGACAAGAAAAGAGATAATTACAACACGACAAAAAGGGGGTATTGACAATGAGACACAATCGATTCTTCTTACCATACGACAGGAACGGGGTATTTACAATGAGACAAGAAAAGAGATAATTACAAGACGACAAGAAAGGGGGTATTTAGAAGGAGACAAGACAGGATTTACTAACCAAACGACAGAAACGGAGGTATTTACAATAAGACACAAACAGAGTTACTTACCATACGACAGGAACGGGTGTATTTATAATCAATGAGACATGAAAAGAGATAATTACAACACAACAAGGCAGGAATATTTAAAATGAGACAAGAAAAGAGATAATTACAATACGACAAAAAAAATGGCGTATTTACCATGATACCTAAAAGGAAAAACTGATCATAAGACAGGAACGGGGGTATTTACAATGAGACAGGAAAGGACATAAATTATAACACGACAAGGCAGGAACTTACAAGAAGATAATACAGGAGTTACTTATCAAACAACAGAAACGGAGAAAACAAAAAATTACAATATGACAGCTCTGGGATATTTAAATTGAGACAAGAAAAGAAACAATTACAACACGACGAGAAAAGGAGTATTTACAATTAGACAAGACAAGAGTTACTTAATAAACAACATGATAGTGGGTATTGAAAATGAAACACAAAAGAAGATACCTACTATATGACAGAAACGGGGGTATTACAAATCAGACAAGAAGAGAGATAATTTTCAACACGACAGGGCAGGGATATTTACTATAAGACACAAAAAGAGATACTTACCATACGACAGGAACGGGAATATTTACAATGAGACAGAAATAGAGATAATTACAATACGGCAGGAACGGGGTATTTAAAATGAAACACAAAAGGAGTTACTAAACAAACGACAGGAACGGTGTATTACCAATTAGACAAGAAGAGAGATAATTTACTACACGATAGGGCAGGGATATTTACTGTGAGACATTAACGGGGTTTTTATAATAAGATAAGAAAACAGATAATTACAACACGACAAGGCAGTGATTTCTAAAATGAGACAAGAAAGGAGATAATTACAAAACGACAAGAAAGGGGTATTTACAATGAGACAAGACAGGAGTTACAAACCAAACAACAGAAACGGAGGTATTAACAATGAGACACAAACAGAGACACTTATCATACGACAGGAACGGGGGTATTTACAATGAGAAAAGAAAAGAGATTATTACTACACGATAAGAAGGGGCTATTTACAATGAGACAAGACAGGAGTTTCTTACAAAACGACATGAAAGGGGGTATTTAAAATGAGACACAAAAGCAAATACCTACCATACTACAAGAACGGGGCCGGGGTATGAACAATTATACAAGAAGAGAGATAATTTTTCAACACGAAAGAACAGGGGTATTTACTATGAAACACAAAAGCAGATACCCACCATACGACAGGAACGGGGGTATTTATAATGAGACATGAAAAGAGATATTTACGACACGACAAGGCAGGGATATTTAAAATGATACAAGAGAAGAGATCATTACAACACGACAAGAAAGGAGGTATTTACAATGAGACAAGACAGGAGTTACTAACCAAACGAGATGGAAGGGGGTATTTACAATGAGACAGGAAAAGAGATAATTACAATACGGCAGGAACGGAGGTATTTATAATGAAACACAAAAGGAGTTAATAAACATACGACAGGAACGGGGGTATTACCAATTAGACAAGATTTGATTTGATTTGATTTTTGGTGTTTTAACGCCACTTTTAAGCACCGCTTTTGGGCTATTTCGTGGCGGCCAGTTTTTATTGGTGGAGGAAGCCGGAGTGCCCGGAGAAAACCACCGACTTTCAATAGGAAAACTGACAATCCTAGTCAATTAAGATTGGAGTCGAGTGCACCCGCACCAGCGGGGTTCGAACTCACAACCTCAGTGTTGACTGGCTAGTGATTACAGTAGTAACTACTTAGACCACTCGGCCACCGAGGCCCCCAATTAGACAAGAAGAGAGATAATAAACAATACGATAGGACAGGGATATTTACTATGAGACAGTAACGGGGGTTTTTACAACGAGACAAGAAAACAGACAAAAAAGGGATATTTAAAATGAGTCAAAAAAGGAGGAACTTTCCAAACGACAGGAACGGGGAAGACAAGACAGGAGACAATTTACAACACGACAAGGCAGGGATGTTTGCTATGAGACACAAAAGGAGATACTTAGCATACGAAAGGAACGGGGATATTTTCAATTAGAGAAGAAAGAAGAAAAATACCAACACGACAATGGAGAGATATTTACAAGGAGACACTACAGAAGTTACTTACCAAACGACACAAACGGAGGTATTTACAATGAGACAAGAAACGAGATAGTTAAAACACGAGAATGAAAGGGGGTATTTACAATGAACCAAGACTGTGTCACAGGAGTTATTAACCAAACGACATGAAAGGGGGTATTTAAAATGAGACTCTCTCCATCAGACAGGACCGGGAATATTTACAATAAGACAAGACAGGAGATAATTTACAACACGACAGGGCAGGGATATGTACTGTGAGACACAAAAGGAGATGCTCACCATACGAAAGGAACGGGGGTGTTTACTATTAGATAAGACTGTGTCACAGGAGTTATAAACCAAACGACATGAAAGGGAGTATTTACAATGAGACACAAAAGGAGATATTAACAATACGACAGGAACGGGGGTATTTACAATAAGACATGACAGGTGTTATTTACCAAACGACATCAAAAAGGTTAATTTAAATAAGACCCAAGAAGAGATACATACCATAGGACAGGAACGGGGGTATTACGAATTACACAATAACAATAGATAATTTTCAACACGACAGGGCAGGGATATTTACTATGAGACACAAAATGAGATACTTACCATACGACAGGAACAGGGGTATTCACAATGAGACAAGAAAGGAAAAAAATTACAACACGACAGGGAAGAGATATTTACAAGGAGACAAGACAGAAGTTACTAGCCATACGACAGGAACGGGGGTATTTACAATGAGACAGGAAAAGAGATAATTACAATACGACAAGAAAGGGGGTATTTATAAGGAGACAAGAGAGGAGTTACTAACCAACCGAATTGAAAGGGGGTATTAAAAATGAGACATAAATTACAAAACGACATGGCAGGGATATTTTCAATGAGACAAGGAAGGAGATACTTACCATACGACAGTCGAGAGTGTTTTTACAATGAGACTAGAAAGGAGGTAATTAAAAAGTCCAACAAGAAAAGGAATACTCACCAAGCGACATGAAAGAGGGTATTTACAATGAGACAAGACAGGAGTTACTCACCAAGCAACATGAAAGGGGGTATTTATAATGAGAAACGCAGGAATTATCATAAGACAGGAGAGAGTGTATTCACAATAAGACAAGAAATATGATAATTATAATACAACAAGGCAGTTGTGATTATAATTAGACAAGAAAGGAGACTTACAGTACGACATGAAATGGAGTATTTACAGTGAGATAAGTAGGGGTTTACTTACTTTACGACATGAAAGGGGGTATTTACAATGGGACAAGAAAAATGATTAATAACAAAACGACAAGAAAGAGGTATTTACAACGAGACAAGAAAAGGGATACTTAAAATACGACAGGAGAGGGGGTTTACCACGATACAAGACAGGAATTACTTACCATACGACAGGAGAGGGAATACTAACAATGAAACAAAAAGAGATACTTGCTATACGAAAGGAAAGGGAGTATTTACAATGAGACAAGACAAGAGATACTTAAAATACGACAAGAAAGAGATATTTACAATGAGACAAAAAGGGGGTACTTACAGTAGAAGAGAGGGAGGTCTCCAATTAGACAAGAAAGAAGGTACTTACAGTAAGACAGAAAAGGGGGTGCATACAGTCAGACAAGAAAGAGGGTTCTAATTGTGCGACAAAAAAGGGACAGTCTACCGTCAAACAAGAAAAGAGAAACTTACATTACAGTTCGCCAAGATTAACGATTCTTGCAGTCAGACAAGAAAAGCAGTACTTTAAAAATGATAGGAAAGGAGAATTAACTGAAAAATAATAGCAGCAGATAGATCAGGCAATAATAGTAAATAAAACTATAGACATACTGTAAAACTTACCTGACGGGCATGCATGAATGAAGAAAAGCTTTGGCTTCCCCTTCAGTTTTGGACAATTTTCAGTATCAAACTGATCTATTATATTTTGCATTTTCAAAGGTTCTCCATCCTTCATGAATATCAGATCACCAAGTCCATGAGATAAAATAACCATAGCAAAACAGTCGTAAGTTTCAGCACTGGTTTGTTCTGCCTTTATCAGACTTAATAATTCCTTGAAAAAAGAACATGTAATATACTTTTCAATAAACTGTCGGCAGAAAATTCAGCAAAAGACAATCTGATGAACAGCAACGATGCTAATTATTAATTCAAAGTTGCAGAACCATGAATTAGGGGCACGGCATCGAAATGGTCGACAAACTGAGATGCAACTATATTGAAAATATCATTGTCTATCACAAGTAGTTCCTATCAAACTGACCGTTAAGCAGAAAACTTAACATTGAAAATCGCATATTAATTCAAAGTCACTGGACCATGACCTAAGGGACAGGGCCTCGAAATTTGTTGTGACCCTTACTTTTATTATATTTTTGAAAAAAGCTAGTTCAAATCTACATGTTGGCAAAGTATAAGAAAATTCTATCTGAGGAGATATATACAGAAAAATTAACAACTGTTGACGTAGCCGGAAAAGCAACACATATATTTATAGGTCTCTTTAAAATTATCAAGAAACGAAGGGATCCAACTCCATAAGGAATGTTGACCTTTAGTAGGCGAATTTTGCTTTCCTTTACGGCCCCTTTCGGTTTTATATTGTAGCTCCTCAATTACTTAAGTAGTCATACGACAATGGCTTTCAAAAATGTTGGGTTTGAGTGTACCCGAGGAGGGTAAATCCAGAAAACCACCAAATCTAAAAAATGCTACTATTATTCTAATTTTCTTTTTTACTCAATTGCATTTTTTACAAACAAGGTTTTAAAATTTTTAACTGTGAAATATTTAACAGATATTCAACTTAACATTCTGAAAAATAGATTTTGAGTTTATGTCAAAGAGACAGCAACCCAATCGTTTGTTCATGTAAAATATAATTAATTAACACATCAATCTACTAAATTACAATATAAATTATCATAAATATAATCTCTGAGTTAACTCGATACATTGTTTTCTTTTGTATCTAGACTCGTAACAACGAATATTATATCTTAAGACATAAAAATTAAAAACAACACTTTTTAACTGATTTGTACAGTTTGTTTTTATGTTGTACTTTTAGACAATTGTCCCAGGTTAAGGGGAGGGATGGTTTGGCGCCTTCAAACATGTTTCATTCCGCCACATTCAGTATGTGTCTGTCGCAAGTCAGAAGCCTGTTATTCAGTGGTTGTCTTTGTTTTGCTGTATATCATATTTGTTTTTTTCTTTTATTGTTTTGTACATAAATTTGGCCGTAAGTTTTCTAGTTGGCATTGTTTTACATTTGTCATTTCGGGGCCTTTTATAGCTTACTATGTGGTATGGGTTTTACTCGTTGTTAAAGGTCGTACGGTGAACTATAATTGCATATCTTCTATGTCATTTGGTCTCTGGTGGAGAGTTGTCTCATTGGTAATCATACCACATCTTTTTATTTTTGTATTTTATAAATTTCATGCGTTTGAAGCAAAAGAATATTGTACGATACACCATATAAAACTTAATGTTTTGACGTCGATATAAAAGCACTTACCATTGTATTAATATTTGTTTTTAGCACAACTTTGAATCTAAGCTGTTGGAATAACAGCGTTAAACTTGATGCTGACAGATCATGCGCCTGTTTGTCACGTGTTGGAATACCATGGTTATCGAATGACATTATGTTAATGATTATGAGTTTTCCTCTTGGTTTACTGTCCATGCTGTAACACTGTAATGGCCAAAAGGTTAAAAAATATAAACAGGTATAAACGTGAACTCATGATAGAAGTTTTACAGTCACTAAATATAATAGAAACTACTAAAATTTCATGATCTTTGCAAATTTAATCCCTTTAACATTACTCAGTCGGTCAAATAAAGAAATTTTATTTTACATGTGCTTCCACTTATTCATGCTGCATTTGATTATTCCGAGTTTTATGATGTATAACGATAACGATAATTCTTTATTGGTGGGATTTCAAAGTACAAATATGGTACATCAAGTTAAATCCGGTTATAATTTCATTTTGTATTTGACCCTTTGGTCGATATCAATACGATGGAAGTCGCGAGAGCAGCAGGAAGTGTTATGAAATGCGACTAAGATTGATTTTTACTTTTCATTGACAATACGATCATACCATATGCTCATTTATTTGACTGTGACATCTCTAGTCTAGCTGAGACTCCTTATCGAATTTGTATGATGAATGTGATATCACTGACTGAAATGCATCACCGACTTGTTCGACTTTTCGTCGTTTTCGTTTTTTGCCATGGCGTTATCTGTTTGTTTTAAGACTTTGACTTTTGAATATCCGTTGGTATTTTCAGCCTGTTTTGGCACTTACTACACGACGAGTGCCATTCGTTGAGCAGGATCTGCTTTCTCTTCCACAGCATCCGATGATCAACCCGCTTTTGCTGGGGTTCGTTTTGTTGGTTTTATTATGTAGTTGTTTGTCAGCAATTCAAAGTTATGTTAAAACGAGCATGACAGAAAGGATTATTTCTTTATGTTTATAGCAACACTTATATAAAAAAAAAGGAGAAGTGGTATTATTGCTAACGAGACAACTATCCGCCAGAGTTCAAATGAAGTGGATGTAAGTAATTATAGGCGACCGTATGGCCTTCAACAATGAGAAAAACCCATAACTATTCGGCTATAAAAGGCCCCGACATGAAAAATGTGAAACAATTTATACGAGAAAACAAACAGCTTAATTTATAACAAAAACAATTTACGAAAAACAAATATGACAGACATGAACCAAGGGGGAACTGACATATTTCTGACTTGGACAGGCACATAAAGAATGTGGCGCGTTAAAAATGTTTGTGAGGGCTCAACCCTCCCCCTTTTAAACCTGGGACAGTCGTATAAAAGCACAACATAAGAACAAACTGTAAAGACCAGTAGCAATTGGATTAACTCAAAAGATCGGTAAGAGGCACAAAAACAACTGACTTAAACACAATAGACACAAAGGTACTCGCAGTTACTGAAAGCTAGTTCAAAGCCATTACAGCATTACAGCTAATAAACAGATCATGTTATCCCAGACTAAAGTATCAATAAGTAAACATCCAACGGATTTAGTGTAAAGACGACATAAACCGTCTGAGAAACGCGTGACCTTGTGCAATCCCAAAATATAAGTAAACAGTATCAGCAGGATGTAGGATGAGTTCTCATAACCGTACAATTTTTCAAAAACAAAAGCACTGTTAGTACCTATTTTACATGGATCGTATCTAAATTTACGGGCTTTATAAACAACATATGTTTTCTGACAACACAATAATATTTTAGAAAAATAGTTGACATACATCCGGTTGAATCAGTTGTCTGTTGCATTTTTGCATTTTGATTTTCATTGGTTCTACAGTCTCTGGAGTAAATGGAGGAACAGTGTCTGTAGAATGTATATCAATGCTTCCTACTAAAAAAGATTTTGAACTGGTTATGGTAAAGTGAGGATATGTTGCCAATATCGTATAGTAGGCTACATATATATAGCTTTATGCTGCTGCAGTACGGACCGGGATAACTAAAAAATGTGAAACAATATAAATGAAAATATACAACCGGTATGATTTATATTATTCAATATATAATAACGAAATACAATTAAAGCAGATAGCAACCATTGAAAACAAATGAACATCATGATCCAAGTCTTCGAGCACACATGCATGGATATAAGGCTTTGTCTATTCATTTTATGTATTGCTTTAATCTATGTGTAGAAACAGAGCCATAAACAACGCTTTCAAAATCTGCTGACCAAATGCTTTTATTGTATAGTTCCTCTATAGATCTTTAATCACTTTTTCAACTGATTAAAGACAATTCTGTACTATATGAAGGCAGATAAAAAAAATTGGAATGCAAAGGCATTCTTGTGATGAGGAACACACATGAATAATTAATAATCAATATCTACTTTGTAAAACTCCTCAAAGATACCAGGCTTGTGATATAGTACACCAGACACCCTATTCTCCTCAAAGATACCAGGCCTGTGATATAGTACACCAGACACCCTATTCTCCTCAAAGATACCAGGCTTGTGATATAGTACACCAGACACCCTATTCTCCTCAAAGATACCAGGCTTGTGATATAGTACACCAGACACCCTATTCTCCTCAAAGATACCAGGCTTGTGATATAGTACACCAGACACCCTATTCTCCTCAAAGTTACCAGGCTTGTGATATAGTACACCAGACACGCTTTTATCATCAAAGTTACCAGGCTTGTGATATAGTACACCAGACACCCTATTTTCATCAAAGATACCAGGCTTGTGATATAGTACACCAGACACCCTATTCACCTCAAAGATACCAGGCCTGTGATATAGTAAACCAGACACCCTTTTCTCTTCAAAGTTACCAGACTTGTGATATAGTACACCAGACACCCTTTTCTCCTCAATGATACCAGGCTTGTGATATAGTACACCAGACACCCTTTTCTCCTCAAAGTTACCAGACTTGTGATATAGTACACCAGACACCCTATTCTCCTCAAAGATACCAGGCCTGTGATATAGTACACCAGACACCCTATTCTCCTCAAAGATACCATCCTGTGATATAGTACACCAGACATCCTTTTCTCCTCAAAGTTACCAGGCCTGTGATATAGTACACCAGACACCCTTTTCTCCTCAAAGATACCAGGCCTGTGATATAGTACACCAGACACCCTTTTCTCCTCAAAGATACCAGGCTTGTGATATAGTACACCAGACACCCTATTTTCCTCAAAGATACCAGGCTTGTGATATAGTACACCAGACACCCTTTTCTCCTCAAAGATACCAGGCCTGTGATATAGTACACCAGACACCCTTTTCTCCTCAAAGATACCAGGCTTGTGATATAGTACACCAGACACCCTATTCTCATCAAAGATACCAGGCCTGTGATATAGTACACCAGACACCCTTTTCTCCTCAAAGATACCAGGCTTGTGATATAGTACACCAGACACCCTATTCTCCTCAAAGATACCAGGCTTGTGATATAGTACACCAGACACCCTATTCTCCTCAAAGATACCAGGCTTGTGATATAGTACACCAGACACCCTATTCTCATCAAAGTTACCAGGCTTGTGATATAGTACACCAGACACCCTTTTGTCATCAAAGTTACCAGGCTTGTGATATAGTACACCAGACACCCTTTTGTCATCAAAGATACCAGGCTTGTGATATAGTACACTAGACACCCTTTTGTCATCAAAGTTACCAGGCTTGTGATATAGTACACCAGAAACCCTATTCGTCTACATAAGACTCGTCAGTGGTGCTCGAATCAAAACAATTTTGAAAATCAATTTAATTACGAAGTTAGTTTATGTAACTGGCTTAACCACCACATTGTATGCCTGTATCAAGTCATTATATTTGATATCTGTATATTTTGTTGTTAATCTATGTTGTTTTTCTATTTGTTGGTAGTCTATTGTAATGTTATTGGTTATATCTAGTTCTTACCTAGAAATAATGATTGAGGATCAGTTATTGGCGAACCAACAGATGCAGCATGATGTAATGTTGTCCTGTCGTAACGCTGTGGTGCTTCTTCTACTGTTTTAGCTTTTGACAATTCTGGTCTGCTTGCAAATTCAGGCTTAAGGACATCGGCGAGTTCTTGCTGGTGCGTTTCTACAAGTGCTTGGTGAAAAAAATCGTAAGCTGATTGACCTCTACGTGGAAGTATATCCAGAAGTGCTCGAGCTTGTTGTTCTCTAGTATGTTCACACTGTAATTTGAAGTTAGAATATTAATTTAGAGAGATTTTTTATGAAAAGTGCAAATTATCAAAATCAATAATTTCCTTTTGGGATGATTTTGAACGACATAATTTATATAACAAAAAAAATTGCAGTATGGTTACAAACGAAAACCCAAATAGACAAAGATGGGTCCAATTAAGTTCTGAATTAAACGAACCAAGCAGTCATTTATATATATATATATATATATATATACACACGAAAAGGAATGTATTTTCTAATTCGATAGCAGATATTGAGTAGGTATTCTATATTACAATTTAATATATCTTTTTTATTCTTTTCCTACAAGACGTTCAGCAACGGTGTTACCAATAAGCAATATATTTTTTTTCCGGAAATAATGTCCTGAATCTCAACTCATTTAGGTTTTTATATTTATTTTGAACTATTTACTTTGATCTTTTTTCCTTTTCTTAAAAGCTATTCCATGGCTCATAAAAGACAATGATGGTTCACTTTCCTATATCACATTAGACATCAAAACACCCAAATTGGAGACAATTACAGCAAACATACCGTTTCCTATTGGAGACAACTGTTTAAAGCAAAAATATTAACCACAAAGGTAGACAACTCAAGCAAAATAACTTACTGAAATGGAGACAAGTCTAGCTAATTGCCTTAAATCTTACATATATATACGTTTTAATGTTTCTATCCATAAATGTATGAAATGTACATGGTACCTACCGTAATTTCTGACATCATACCCTCTGACAGCACTCCATATGCGAACAATTTATCACATATACCAGGGATATCACATAGTCCTTTGATTAAAATAGTGCGGCCTTTCCTTAGGATCGTACGGGAACGTTCGTCCATGTCTTTTAATTATTTCTGTAAAATGTTATATAAACCACAATTCAAGAACTTGTTGTTCACTAAGTTGACACAAGTTAATTTCATGATGAGATTTATTTCACTGTAAGTTTGATTTGATATTTGATAACGATGAACTACAACCCAAAATATGGAGACTGTGAATTAACCATAGATTTTTAAATGGGCTGCCACATATTTGTTCCATAGATAGATACATACAATAACGTTAACGTAATATCCAGAGTCTGCTATTCTCACGACTATTTTATGTTTTGTCGCGGCATTCCTCACAATGAATTAAACACGAGTTCGTTATCTGAACAGATTCATGTCATTTAAGTCCGTACGTGAAATTAATTTAATAACAATGAAGAAGAAATATCTCCAAAATTTAATTGACGATAATTTCCTTCATATATGAATGTAAACCCTAATTGTGTCTTCAAAGTTTAATCTTGCACTTCATCAAAATGTTTTCTATCACAAAAGACAATAAACTTAGTCATTGTAAACTTGAATCTGATTCCTGTGTTGTTATATTGGAGTACACGGAATCGTTACTCTCCTGGTAATAAACTAACGAAGCAGCAATTCCTGTGTGCTGTCAATATCTTCAGTTACTGTACTGTTGTTTTGACATTGACAAGTAAAAAATGAATGAAAGTAAATATCTTAAATAGAAAAGGAAATCAGTAAGTTAAGACAACAGTACACTAGGATATGAGTGGGACATTACATGTACTACATTTGTGTTTGCTTGTCACTTTGAGAGTTAGCTCCCACCCCTTTTCCCCATACTCATACACACACTGTGTCACTGCATTAGAATTCTTACAAAGTTTATTTCAAAAAAAAATTTAGAAAATCTCTTTATCTAGATCATGACAAATGAAGATTAAGATTTTAATACAGTTTTTAGTCTTTACCTAAATAAAACTTTTCCAGATAGAGAGTTGTCTCATTGGCACTCATAACACATCTTCTTATTTATACAGACAGGAAAAAAGAGACACAAGTTAAGGCAAACAAATGGAGTTATCCCTCTTTGTATTGGCTCTCTCCAATCATGTATTATATGTTTTAATTTGTTTTTAATCATTTTAAATTATTAACAATCAGTATATATGTTAGATTGCATGTGTTGTTTGTGTGGATATTGTATGAACTGTGTTGATTTATATGCTCTATATGGGCCCCGGCCCTTTAATTAGGAATAAATACATTTGCTTTGATTTGATTTGATTAGTTAACCAATGTTCAAATCTTGTGAATCAATCAAGATGCGAACAATCAAGGTAACAACCATAAAACTAAGTCTATCAACATACAACTTGGTATTATTATTCATAACAAATAGCAAATAAAGTAAAATGGAAAGAAAATATTGACCTCGTTGTCATTAATTACATGTTATAGGCCAGGGTTATAGGACAACAAATGAGGGAATCGCATAAACCCTGTCATGTCGATGCACGCCATCGACATGACAGGGTAAGTGTATCCTGCATTGCATGCATCACAGTATCAATAACTCAAAAATGTGTATAAAGCGTCTGTGCAAAATATATGAGGTCAAAATGCTAAAACTGTCAGATTTCATTTTAATGAGAAAAAAAGCTTTATGTACTTTATGTATGCAGCATAAAATAAAGCTTTGTTTAAGTAACCTTCTTTTACAATTAAATGTTATCCTTACCTGCGTCAATGTGTTCCTCGAGATGTGTTCTGTCCGCGTATTAACAAGGGGAATATTCACACTATGGAAAGATTAGGTAAAATCCGTATCTATAAATAGATTATTGACACCACGTAGTTAAAATACATAAACAAACAATCTGATAACCATTTCAAGGTTCGTGTGTATTTTTATTTAAGTATACAAAAGGAGATGGTCAACCGCTATGCGTACTATTTAGATTTATATTAGAGGGAAATGAAAATAACATCAGTTCATTCTGCGTCCACATGTTGATTTCTCCTAAAAATAGAATATAAATTGGACAGATTTCAGATCACTACTATGGTTTCAAATGATTAAACAGGGAACCAGACACGGAAAACAAAGTGGTCTGAAAATAACATAAACATTAGCTATTTTAAAAGCTTGCCTAAATATAGTAAAAGTTAATCTTAAAAGAATAGAAGTAGTACATAAATACTGAGAATGTTACTTAGAAATTGTTGTTTTGAACGAAATTTATTTACAAAATATCAAATATCAAATATAAAGGTTTGGATTTTTTTTTGGGGGGGGGGGGGGGGGGACTTAAAATCATTTCTGTCTTTTTCTCTATTCTTTACATTATTAGCCCTTTATTCTCTATTTTTTTCAATACTCTCTATTCGATAAACCCCATATTCGATACTACACATGTACAACCCCGGGTACACATGTACATTTTAGGAAAGAATTTAAAAAGCATTAATTGACAATGAAATCTATCAGTCCGAATTAAACTTTTTTCTGGGCTTAGCTAATAAAAACTAAGCAACCCCTTCTAACTATATACACACGTTCTCTAGAAGATAAAGCCTAACCATTTTCTCTCATTCTTTAATATCACAGAATCTGACTCAGAATTATATATTTTTAACTCACCCGCTACAAATTGTTTCAAATCTACATTCTCATTTTCAAACTACCTGCAGCCACACTTGTTGTAACATGGTTGGATTTTATTTCAGACTTTACCCTTTTTCTTGTTTTTCTGGCTTCTTGTTTTTTTTTATTTTGTCTTTTTATTTGCCTAAATCTGTCAGATTCATTCTTTTTTATATTAATGTTTTTCATTTGCTTTAAATCGTCTGTTCTTAATTCTGTTTAGACCTACATGTATTTCTTTTTCACTTTATCTAACCTCGATCTCTGTCTTAACTGTCTTAGGTTTTTCCCTTTCTCTTCAATCTCCTGCTTTAATCTCTCCTTCTCTGTCTCTTTGCATTTATTCTTCAAATCTTCATTGGTTCTGTCAAGCTCTTGCCTCAACTCAGCCACTTCTGGATCATTTTCTTCCACCAATAATTAATTGTCAGGAATTAACCAAGCTGTTATTATCATGTGATGTTTGTTGACGGGAATAGTCTTGTCTGTGTCTACATTTGGACAACCATACTCGTTCAAATTCTTGTATTTTACTCCATGACCAATATTCCAGGCATTACTCAAATTTTCGTGGCAAGAATCTTTTTTAAACCCCATCATGTATCACTTCAGTCACCACACGGGTCCAAAAATAAGTCTTCTATCTGTTATTTCCAACAAAAGCAATGTCACAAAAACATTTTCAAACAAAGTTTTTTTTTTATTTAACAACAGTGAACACTTTTTATGAAACCAACCACCCGTGTCTTCTATAAATTTAATTAGGATTATCAAAGATAAAAATAGCATTAATTCTGACGTCATCGTAATTACTGGGTTAAATATAGATAATACATGTGAAATCTTTCCAATTAAATAAGTATGTGTCCTTATTGTACCATTTAGTTATATAGGCAAGGTAAGCTTATTGTTGTGTACATACATCAGGTCATTAGTTTTCTCGTTGGAATTGTTTTACATTTATCATGTATCTTTTATATAGCTTGCTATGCGGTATGGGTAATTCTCATTGTCGAAGGCGGTACGGTCACCTATAGTTGCTTACTTCTTAATTGTGTACTTCCTTTGGTCTCTGATGGAGTGTTGTCTCATTAGCAATCATGCCACATCTTTTTAGTTTCATAAGGTACGCTTATAATCCTTTTATTGGATTTGATGGAATAGATCAAGACATATTGCTGTGAACATTATAAGATACAGGACAATATAATTTATGATAGATTGGTGTTTAACTATTAAACGTCAAGTGGCAAATATTTCATGTATATCATGACTTGTAACTGTGATATGAAATGGGACCTCCTTTGTACTAGATCGAAACTCTTATTCCTATTTAAACAAGCTATTTCAAGTATCTGGTTTGACCCAGAGCGTCTCGGACCTGGATTCGAACCCGCAATCTCCCGCGCTCAAGACAAGCACGCTAGAGATGAGATGATTTAGAAGTAGGGTGCTCGCCTCGAATGCGAGAGGATGTAAATTTGCGCGATTCATTTGGTAGCTGTCTAATTTGGGTATACTTCATATCTACTAAATAATTTATATACATTGTATATAATTGTAAGACTGCTCAAGGAACAGGGGGGATAATGTCCCTAAAGCTTATGGGTAATAAAGAGGTAGATGTAATTATGGCTTACATGTGTATGCAAAGGACGGGTAAACGACAACTCCTAGATTATAGTTGACATAATGAATACATGGAGGGGGTCTGGATGGGGTTTACAGAATACAGAATAATGTGAAAACGTGCAGAATAAATGGCTAAAAAATAAAGAATAAAGAATAATTGGGTGATAAAATAAAAATAATAGAGAATAATGGGCATAATGTATAAAGAATAGAGAATAATGGGCATAATGTATAAAGAATAGAGAATAATGGGCATAATGTATAAAGAATAGAGAATAATGGGCATAATGTATAAAGAATGGAGTAAAATGGCATAAAAAAATTAAAGAATACGGAATTGAAGGAACGCAATCACGACTTTCATGAAGAGCTTTTTTTTAATAATCTAAATAAACCAATACAATGTATTATATAGATGTACGTTTGCATAGAGGTAACATGAATACTAGATAGAAAGATGAACCTCAAATTAATGTTAATTATTTAATTGTTAATGTCCTTTACCCACCAAACCATGCATCTCCATTGGCAAGAATAATGTTAGTAGTATTGATATAGAAAGTTGGTTTTTGCTTTCGAGTGTGGCATTTTTTCAGAAAGATTTGCGAAAACCTGATAGTAGTTCATAAATTTTTCCTGTACTGTTCAAACAATTTTGTGAACTAACATTTTTAGTACATTTTTCTGTTAACGTTTTTGAAAATGAATAGTTGAATGCTATAAAACTAGTTTAGCCCACAAGATGTCTACATGCCTATCTCAAACCAGAAACCTTTTCACATGTTCCTAACCCTAACCCTAACCCACAAAATGTTGATATGCCTATCTCAAGCCAGAAACATATTCACATGTTGTCTGGTTATTGTATCTTACCCCAATCTTCTTCATTTTACACATTTTGACCAATTGGAAAAGTTCGCGTAGAAAACATTTTTGTGTTGATGATAGTTGTATTAGAGTTGTCGTTCTTAGACTAATCTACAAGATATTTACACAACATACGCACTCTTGTGATATAAAACAGTCACCAAATTTTTATGAAAATTGCTCAAAGCGCTTTTGAGTTATTGTCCGAAAACTGGACAATCCCCCCTTTTTGTGAATAAAATCCCATTACTCGGAAAATTAAAATCGAAAATTAATAAAAATCGAAAGGGACCTTACGTCAATAGATATAAACAGTTTCACGAAAACTGCTCAAAGCATTTTTGAGTTATTGTCCGAAAACTGGAAAATCCCCCTTTTTTAATGAATAAAACCCTATTACTCGGAAACGTAAAATCTAAAATTTATAAAAATCGAAAGGAAGCTCACGTCAATAGATATAAACAATTCGCCAAAGTTTCATGCAAATTGGTTTAAGCATTTTTGAGTTATTGTCCGACATGTTGACGACGGACGGACAGACGGACAGAAGGATAACGGTATACCATAATACGTCCCGTAAACAGGCGTATAAAAAGTGAATGTAATGTGACGTCAAAAGGTTATTCGAAGTTAAATCTAGGGTCATTCTAGGGAAAATCTAGCTAAATACTAAAACGTATAAATTCGTCTTTTTCAGGTAAACGACAGTTTTATGTCCAACGGGAAATATTTGATTAATTGATTTTTTGCTTCCTAAACGTCCAGTGGGAAATATTGCATGCAAATACAGGAATACTAGAAATCAGAACAATAACGTGTTTTTTTTTTAATATGGTGTGAATGTAAATTCCTATTCTGAAATAGTACGATACGCTGAGCCTGTTTTAAGCGTAGAAACTCACAAATAATCAGTATGCAGGAAACATGCCACTCTTCCCGAAACCAAGTTGTATCAAGCTAGGATTTGAAGCTTATTCTTTAATTGGTGCATTTAGAAAATGTAGGTTATGTATGAACATGATTTTATTTTATATCAATTCGGAGCAAATCTTAATATCTTACAATAGTAAGCATGGGTTATTTCTTGGTTAATGTATTGTAGTTATTAGTGTCATGTTCATAAAAATAAAAATGGCAAAATGGCATCCGTTTTCTAATACAAGACAGCTTCCAATTGATATTTTATAGTGTGTTTTTCTATGTTGTGATGTTATACTATTGTTTCAGAAAAGGGAGAAGGTTTGGTACCATTAAAACGTTTAATCCCGCTGCAAATGTTTGCACCTGTCCTAAGTCAGGAATCTGATTACAGTAGTTGTCGTCTGTTTATGTAGTTCATACGTGTTTCTCGTTTCTCGTTTTTATATAGATTAGACCGTTGTTTTTTCCATTTGAATGGTTTTACACTAGTATTTTTTTTGGGGCCCTTTATAGCTTGCTGTTCGGTGTGAGCCAATGCTCCGTGTTGAAGGCCGTACCTTGACCTATAATGGTTTACTTTTATAAATTGTAACTTGGATGGAGAGTTGTCTCATTGGCACTCATACCACATCTTCCTATATCTAGTATAAACATCTCTGTAAATCTTTAAAATCAGACACTAATAGTAAATGTAAAATAATAAATAAATTCAGAAAACAATCAAAAATATATATCTTATAAAAAATCTTCTTATACTGTTCAACTTACG